AAGGAAATGCAACAGAGAGAAAATAACTCTCTGAAAAATGTGGATTAAGATTCACTGTCAATGAGCAATACATAGTCTCACTGAAGACCAGAGGCCTGCTATCTGCATCAGGAAGGATTTGAACTTGTACTTTAATAGCACACCACCATTTAATGCAAGTGTCAAGTTAATAATAAGGTCATGATGACAAATTTTGACTTTCACTTTCAGCCACCTTGCTAGCACCATGCACCTTGTCAGGTATTGACATTATTTTGTGTTGGTGTAAATTCAGCTTATTTCAGAAAAAGGAAGAGGGAAGGAAGGTGGCTGGTATACTGCCTAGCTGGTCTTATCTGGCATTCAGGGAAGCCTTTTAATTCTTAGCAGATGTACCCTAGAATTTGGGGATTTCAACCCTTTTTCGTGCAAGATGGAGGAAGCTGTTATATAGAACACATTGCAAGTCACAAGTAAGGTGTCTAACCATAGGACTTTGGTGTGTTTATCCAACATTACACGGTTAGAGTCCATTTGGAGCAATGCTCTTTGCTGCTTTCATCTCAGGTCACAGCTCCTGTGCCCACCTCTGGGTAGAACCCACCTGCTATATCCTCACCCTACTGGGGATTTGGGCAACAAACCATCTAGCATATCCTGCCATTGTGCACACCCATTTGCCCATAAACTGCTCTTTCTAGTCGCCTTCTAATCTGGGTGTTGTAGGGAGGGCTGGGAGCATAAGCGCCCCTTTGTCCCACAGCTGCACATCCCACTCTGAGCTCAGGCCCAGCCCTCCTGGGAGACCCTCTCGGTCGCTGTCAAACAGACCCACGTGGGCAGGAAAGCCCGCAACAGTTGAAGGGCTGCTCAGCAGCTGGGTGGCAGGGGGAGCGGGCACATGCCGCTCTCCTCCGGGCTTCTCTTTGCCGTGGCTGCCAGCTATACGAGCCCAGAAAACCTCTCCCTCGCCACAAAATGGCGCCCACGTGCCCGGGTGCCTCCTACCCAGAGAGACCCGCGCCAGCCGCCGGGGCGGGACCAGGCGCCGCGCAG